TTCATGCCCGTGATCATTTTCTTGGCCAGCATTTTGGCAAGAACGGACTTGGAAGCATGGCCAAAGCGTCGGTGAGCTTAATCGATCGTGAGTCTAGGAAAAGCATAGAGTGCAACCTGTTCCTCGTTCATCGACTTAAGAACGCACACGCCATTTTCGCTCTCACTGGTCAACGTCTTGCTGCCTAACTGTAGGATCACCTTTCATGGAGTAGTGTGGAAGTCAACAGCAACCCCCTTCAGCGCCAGCTGAGTCACCGAGATCAAGTTCTTCCGCAGTCCGGGGAGGAAGAGAACATTGGTCAGCTCCAGCTCCTGGAGCTTATTCTCTGAGTCCTTCACGTGGATTGTTACCGTTCCAACGCCTTGTATTGGGGCAGTCGCATTATTCGCCACTGTCACTGTCCCTCCACACAGTCTTAGGTTGTCGAACATGCTGCGAGTGAAGCAAATATGCTGTGAGCATCCACTGTCAATTATCCACGTGTCATCATGACTTGGGGTTTGGCTCAGCGCAGTTGCAGCTTCTGCACGTTCGGGCTCTGCCACCAACTGCACCGATGCTGACCCCGACCATTTGTCTCGGTCGTCTCAAGCTGTCCATGGAAGTAAGCGCCCGAAACATCCCATGCACACAGACGAAGCCAGTCACCAACTTCTTCGTCACTAGACGTTGTAGACATCGTATCCGCAGAGGACGCCGCTGAGTCCAGCAGCTCCGAGACGGTATCGGAGTCCGAGCTGTTAGCGAGGCTTCGGACAGGTCCCTTGGACTGGTAACCAGTACCGCGAGCCCCCACACTTCCGCAGCCGCAGCAGCAGGGGCATGGTGATCGTCGTGCTCCGTCTTATCAACCACGCGTACAGCGGCATCAGCACTCACGCCACCGTCTTGTTCACTCCGATGGCGTTTCCGCATTGGGCAGTCTCGCTTGTAATGCCCTTCTTGGTGACAGTAGTGACATTCTTCCCCTTTGGAATGACGCCCGTAATTCTTGTCTCCGTCTTGGCCGCCTAGACCTTCGCTTTTACGTCCAGACCGTCCAAATCCTTTAAGACGACGACTAGTGTTCGGTTTCTGGGACTCCTGTTGCAGTATCGCATTGGCTGCCATGGCTGAGGTCTCAATCATTTGACTCCCAGTCGCAACCCGCCGAGCAGCTTCTACCATCACATTGGTTTCCATCGAGCTCCAAGATATCGGGGCCTTTGGATGTAGTACATGCTCTTAAATGCGTCCCATGAACTTGGCAGACTGCTGAGTAGCTGACAAACTTTCTCCGTGTCATCAACGGGTTTGCCTTGGTTGGCCAGCCGTCCGGCTAGTGTCTTCAGCTCGTTGATGTGTGGTAGCATGTCTTTGCCATCCTTGTACTTCAAGGTCACAAATTTCTCACGAAGAGCACACAAGCTTCCCCAGTTTCACGTCTTCTCCAGCAGCTCAAATATCTCGTACGCGCAGGTCTTGTTGCTCACCGCAATCACCATTTCATCCGACAGCGTTGTCATGAGAAACGCGGTCGCTTGATGCTCCCGGTTCCGAAACGAGTCGACGACGTCAGGACAGGCATCCCGACGCGGAGGGAGCTCCGTGCGCGTCACTATGTTCCAGAGACGCTTGGCTTGGAGCAGTGTCTTGATGCGAGCCTTCCAGGGGGCATAGTTCTTCCCATTGAAGTTCATATCCGAGTTCCACTTCATTGTTGCGTAGTTCAGCGTCGGGGGTCTTGGGCTCAAAACCTATTGAACTGAGAAGGCACTTGAAGTGGAAGACGCAGGCGAGGGGAGGTGGCTGTTCTCCCTGAAGTTGTTGCCTCTTAGGTACTTAGCAAAACGAAAAGCGAGGAGAGCTTTCTTGTCCGGACTTGGGGTGTCCAGGGAAGCTCCCCATCTACCAACCATATAGTCTACCATCCTACACACCAACTATCCCTGAGAATCTGTGTTCTGTGCTATCGCAAGCGTTCACCCGCAGCTTGGTCGCACTGACAATTCAACACACAGACCCGTGCAAGGAGGAGACGGAAAACTACATCGCACTTTCAGTCCAGCAAGTTCTCCAAAACTACAGTATCTCAACCCGATCCGAGGTGTTATTATTGCTTGCTCTTAACGTTGGTTACAGAGCGTTGGACTTCGTGACGCTCTGGGTCAACGTGCACAAGTCGGGAATTACATCGCTGTTAGAGGTCATATTGTTAATGAACAGCTGGTACTGGCCCCATTGTCCTATATTCGTTTTGCTTGGGACGACGATAACCAGACAGGGCCTATTCGTTGGAAGGAACATCAAACTATTTCCAGTCGACAACAAGAGCGAAGTGACAACACACTGGTAGATTCGATACAAAAACTGGAGTGTTGAAACCTTATGGCTTCACCCACGACTTCAGAAAAACTTCGATGTGGCGTCGGATTTAATTGCGTCATTTCGAGAGAGGCCATCGTCGACAAATGTGAGTGGTGACAGTACGACCCTGCAGCATGATGGCGCAGGAGTAACTGATAAAGTAATTGCCGTCGATAAAGAAGAAGATCGAAGTGAAGAGGAGATGATTGGAGATAGTGAGGCTTTTTTTACTGAGACCTTTGTGTCTGGTATTGGCGATCAGAAAAGCGTTCGCGATGGTGGTGACTCTGAAGATGATAACGATGAAGACGTCATTGGGACGAGCCACATGGATCCTACGATTCTGGAGTCTGAGCAAAGCCAGGTCTTAGACACCTGCGTAGAGAATGAAGTGCGTGATAGAGTACAGGACATAGGTGTGAGGAGCATTGAAAAGTAGTAATCCCGTCTAGTGAAGTACCACCAATGTTAGTACCAAGGTGTTCGAAGGGAGCAAGACGGAGCTCCACGTAGGACTGATATATTTGCTCAAGCCGCGTTGGATATCGTGGCCGCATTTCGTGAAGGACGGTCATCGCTCACGACTATTTTATACCCCGTGGCTAGTGATGTGACTACTAGCATAGAGAATATGGATTGGTACGAATTGGAGAGGGTCGAAATGACACGACATTCAACGTGCACGAAGCTACTGCTGCTCGTAGCCCTGCGAACTTGGTCTCTTTGTAGAGCCTGATCTCTTCCGGTGTCTTATCAGCGGGCCGTAGCTTTTGTACTCCTCGGGAGGATGAGCGCAAAACTCGAGTGCACGAGAGTCCTGGAGCTCCACGATGTGACGCATAGTCAGCATCTCACCGGTGGATTGCATGGCTCGAATAGCGTCGTAACATTGAGGGGAGAGTCGAGGTACTGGTTTTTCACCAAGAATCTTCTTTAGCTCACAAGGATCTTGAAAAACCGACAATTTCACATTTATTCCGCTGCATTCCGTCATTTGGTAACAGGACAAAACCTAAAATTTTCATTAGTGCAGCACCAATTTCTTTGAGAGAACTTTCAGTGTAGCCGCCAACCGTAACAATCGTCATTTCTTCGATGGATGGGAGGTCCCTGAGCCTTGCTATAATTTTTCTTGACCATAGGCTTGGGAGATTCTTGGATGGAAGTGCTGACGTGATCGCTGTCCTCTTCTATGAGATCCAAAACATATTCTACTCTTCTAGCGGTAGCGTATCCCTCATTACGACCTGCATCTTCGGTGCCAAAGTCTTCATCGCTAGCTCCGCTGTTTTTGTGTCTCAAAGTTTCATGAAGTTTAATCGCTGTCTGGTTGTCCACACGAATCGAATCATCTTGCTGTAAATAAAGGCAGCCCTCAGCACAAGAGGTCAACTCAAGAGCTTCATCGATGGCTTCGCCAGTATCGCGGGTGTGTCGATAGCTGCCTCTACTTTTAATCTGCTCAGCAGCATTGACTACGCTGAAGCCTACTCCAGTGTCAGAGCTGCTTGCGCTCTGGTTCTTTTAGCAATAGAATTTCTGCAAAATGTTCACAGCACGTTGCAACCGCAGGAGCGCTGCCAACACGACAAAAACTGAGAAACAAAACGGGATCGTTGAAGTTTATTGTAGGTGAAGTCATCGCCGAGCAAGACGTACAAGCTGGTGGGGATGAAGAGCTACCCGACAGGTCCGGGGGGGAAGATCTAGTCAAGAGGATTGCTCGCAACGGTCTTGTCGGTATGAAAAGCAAGCTGGCAATGAGTCGCGAACAGGTCGACACCGTGCTTCAATCGTTTCATGAACAGCGCCAAATGCTTGTGGAAGGAGGCATAGAAGTAATTAACACCAAGTTTCCTCCTTTGCTTCGTACCTGAGATCGTTCGTGATTTTTAAGATCGCTGGTTTGTTCTTCAAAGGGTTGTACGACCCCGTCCTTGCGTTTTCAATATGCATGATGCACCTGATTGGTGATCACGTGGAAAAGGAATGTGCATAACGTCATCGCTCTGGATGTGTCAAAACTATTACGTCTTCTAATCAAAGATTACTCGGTGTGAGAACAGCCATTCTCCTAAGCAGCGTCCTATTGATCCACTTTTCTTTCCTGCTTGTGGTGGTCAGCTTTTGGTGGAAGCTGCCTTGCATGGCCACGAAGCTACGTCTTGGGCTTCGTACGCTACCGAAAATGCACGTACAACCAAGTTAACCACGATTTTCCTCACAGTTATTCTGACACTGTATCTACCTCTCACACAATTGGCGTTCGACATCCTCGTTGTAACGTAGGATATGCACGACCATAACTCAGCAGAGAAAGTGGGATTCATGCACAAGTACCGGGATGGGTCCTACTCAGGGGTCCCGAAAAATAAATATGCAAAGCAATTTAATAATCTTTCGATATGCAGCATTTTATTTTGTCGCAAATTTACTAACTATTCATTTTAATTTTGATATCCAGTGAGCACTCATATAATATTCCCCATTCCCTGACAACCAACAGTTTTGGGCTAGCAGCTAGAAATCAACCATCACACCTGCAGCCTTTTTTTAAGAGCAAACCGAACGCCACTCCAGACCTGTGCAGTCACTCTTAAACATTTCCCACCGCCCTCACGAAGTTAATCGTTACCGCAACCTCCTCTGCAATGCGTGCGTTTGTCTCGACCCGACCCTCCCGACCTTTCTCGAACAAGCAAGTCGCTCGGTTCTACATCTCGCCGGCCCTCGACGAGCAAGGAGAGCCGACAGGCTTTCAAGTTTGCAAGGCTTGCGGTAAGCACCGCAAGCACACACCTCGGTCGGGCTACACCAACCTGGTGTCACATGTTCGTGACAGTCATCCCAACTACTAGGACGCGATGAGAGATGCAAGCGCTGCAGCCACCGGAACGCTTGTCCCATGGGTCAGCCAGAAGGCGACACACCGATTCAGCTGGATGCGCTGGATCGTCATGTGCAACCTCCCGTTCTCTTTTTGCGAGTCGGAAGAGACGCGAAGATACCATATCGCTACTACATTGGACGTTTTGTTTGTATTTCTAATATTTGTACCACTGTATTAAATGTAGGTTTACTAACATACCGCCGATCTGTGTCGAGACACTCTGTGGTGGCATGGAGAGCGTCGTGAAGGGCCGTCGAGAAGTCCATCGGCGAGGAGAAGCCCAAGTCGTTCGGCCTCGTCAACGACGGCTGGACCCTGGCACCGAGCACTTCCTAGCTGTGTATGCATGCTACGAGTCCTCGGCAAACAGTCTAAGGCAACGCGACTGGCAGCTGCAGAGAAGGCGCTGCTGCAACCTTTTCGACGCGTAGCAGCCGCTGCTGCTCCTCTCGACGACGAGCAAAGCACCAGCTTCGCTGAGCGGATCCTGAAGCGCAGGAAGGTTGACGCAGCCCCCAGCACTTTTTTTTCTGCTCAGCGCGATTCCACCTACGTCAAACGTGGTTGAGCGCCTGTTTAGCTCGGCCAGATCGGTGCTGCGTCACGAGCGCCACCGTCTTTCCCCTCAGGCGCTCGAGATGATCCTCTTCTTGAGGCCAACAGCTCGTACTAGAACGTAGCAGCTGTTGATGCTTGTCTGCTGTAGATAAACTCGAGTACAAGCCAAGATTGAAGCGGCAATGTTTTATTGATGTGTGCCGAGTTGTTCAAAAACAATTTCTCCAACAAGTAGGTCAGACGCTATCTATTTGCTTCGATCATCTTCAGTTGATATATAATGTATTTTAGGGATCCCTGGTAGGACTCCTACTTGGTTTTCTCTCCCCTCGAAGCAACCTTCTTCTGATAGAAAACTTTCACGGTCGGCTTACCAGTTCTACTGATTTGGTCGATTTGAAGGAATCACCCTAACGGTTCGTTAGAGGATGAGGAATATACGTGCGATTTAAACGGTGAAAGGGTCCCTTTTGACGATAAAGTCTACACCAAACTAGTGTCAAGTGATCCAAGTCAGCTCGGGTGTCCGTTTCGGTCACTGTATGCCGGAATTGAAGCACCTACAAATTTCTTCAAATGATCGCAAACATATTTCAGGCATTGATTGTGGTCGCAGCAGCAAAGTCTGTGAGAACCAGTGGCTTGCTGATTAGTATTTGCCTTTTCTTTGTAGTGGTGCTGTCAAAGTACATCCAACCCCGGTTCATGATCTCATGGAGCTTCTTTCCAAGACGACGGCTCTGACCACGGCAGCCGGAGCAACCGCAGTTTCCTACGTCTGCCAAGCGGAGGAAAAGTCCCAAGCGACAGTAAGGCATGTAAATGGCTGCATGGCCTTTGTAGTTGCCGCTCACTGTTTCAATATGGCGGCTATGATTCTGGCGCTTGCATTTGGTGTGAGTGCGTCGAGGGCTCTATTCAAACGCTTTTCGGGTTTGTTATTGTTTAGCGACACGCCACGAGGAGCCGGGGATGGATTTTCAGGAAATGTTATTCCACGCTGGAATATTGCTAAAGAAGCAAAGCACCGAGTGTGGCGGTCATTTTGGCGAGCCATTCTTCTTGAGTTAGCTCTCTCTTCCGAAGACAATGACGCTTGCGTACAGAAGAGAAAAGGCGGCGAAAGCCAGGACAGCAACATCGAAGAAACTGACCGAATCGCATCACTGGAAGAAGCTGTCGTTGCCTCAGGATTGGAACGCGTCGAGTCTCATTGGCTCGGGACATAACATGTGTACACCACGCAGCTTCGTCGCTTAGCTCGCGAAGCTCTGGAAGGTGTAGACGTATACTAAAACAACCCACTGGGAGCGCGAGATGGCCATCTTGACTCCGTGACATGCTTCGGTAAAGTGTACGTTGTACCGTATCCCTTTCACAGTGTTGTGGTATACGATGATGCAGACAACGAAGCAATTATTCGAGATGATTGCGACCATGGCTCACCAGTACGAAGCCACGAAAACTTGTCGAAGCTTTTATTTTTTTAACTTTACACCTGAAACCATGAAGAAATGTAAGTTACGTCAGTGCTGAGTGATACCAACGCCGATTAGGTTTTCGTTTAAAAAAGGTGTTAATTTGGCCACGAATTTTAGGACGGGCAAAATGGAAATGGCTACATCTTTTTTTAATCTGACACCAGGTTCTTACAAGTTCAAGTGCAAATACAAGACAGGTATCATTCGAGTGCTGTCCAACAGTGACGAAGACGGCACTTCGGAAGTCGAAGAGCGGGCGATGCAGCTACTCAGAAAGTGGCTAAGGAAGGAGAAGTGGCTGCAAACAATGAAGCTGTTGCTGAGCAAGGTACCAGCTTTTGAGTTTGTGAGGCAACATATGTGCAAACCAACTCAACCACACAGTAAGAAGAAAAGCAAGAAGAGTGTTATGGCAGATGGCATAAACGTCACGATGAAGTACAAGGACGGAACTGGAGAAGTCGAGATTCCAGACACTGATTTGTAAAGTCAAAGTAAAAGGCCTTCGAAAAGCTCTCATGAATGCTGACCATAATGGTCTAAAGCTGGCGACGGAGGAAAGCGAAACGTTAAGTATGATTATGAAAGCCCCTGAGAGTATGTGGAAGCCAGGACTTAAGAAGCTTCGTGAAAAGCATCGAAAGTACCGTCATGATCTCATTAAAAAGCATGACGACGAAAATGCGGCTTTGAGCGACACTTTCTGGTATTTTGTCTACTACAATCCACATCTTTTAAGGAGAAAGCTGGAAACATACCTCCGTGAACACGAGACAAATCCGTTACTGCAAAGTCTACCAGACTCGCACAAATAGGCGTTGGATGCACTGTATCTTCGTCAAAAGTGGGTTTATTTTAACCCGAGACAAACCTGTTGGTATGTGTTCTGTAACGACGTATCTGCTCGGAATGGTGGCATGAAGAAGTACCAGACCTCGATCCGCTCTCGTACACCTCCATCTGCCTCATGCCGCCAATGGAGAAGAAATATCTAACGGACTGACTGGCAGAGCGTAATCTTTTCAGCAGACACTGGATATTGTTCCATTCAAGGTTAATTGAAATGCTATGGATGCCTACGAGAAGAAAATGGAGGAAGACCGAGAAGAGAAGGATATACATAATATGCGAAAAGTGGATATGAGACTATGCAATTAGTTGTTGAGGAACCTGTTTCAGTCTATGAGATAAGTTCGTAATATATTTGATACATATTTGACTCAGTAATCACTTAAAATTACCGGAAAGCCGATTGTTTTCAGCTTTAGTAAGAAAAATTAATCAGCCAACGAGGCTACAACATGTATCCAGCAATAAGTAAGGAAGCTTGGGAGCCCATTTGATTCGTAGCTGCAGCTACAGAGTCGAAGCAGCTGCTGTAGTACTTCTAGAATTTTAAACTTAGCTAAGCTGAAAAACTGTAGCACAGTGATTAAATCACTTCTAAGCCAATCGTTTGTCCATTTCAGTGTAAAGAAGATTGAGCAAAGGCGCGTAAAACAGTCGTCGCTTTCCTACCAACTTTCGCTTGCATAACCAGGACTCGAGGTCAGGACGTCGCATGACGTTATAGCAAATCGATGTTGGTTGCTGTGGATCGAAATCCGACTTGAACTTCCGGATTCGCTTCATTTCGCCATTGCGGGCGTACACATCGTCCCAAAACACAGACCAAAATGTCACCGCAGGATGCGAATAAACGAATTTCAGCCGTAGATAAAGCGAATCCAGCGCGCTTTGGTGCGTCTCAGTCAAAGACTGAAGACGAGAGTTACCTTCACGGTGCTTTAAGTGAAATTCGAGATCTTGACGAGAAACCTTGGGATTATTGTACACAAAATACCAGAACGCATCACTCAGCGTCGAATTTGCCTCTGCGTGTTTATGTTCGAGCCCTCGTCTGTATTCCTGATGTTGTTCTCGTAACATTTTCAGCCCAGGACCCCACACATCCTTGGTTTGCATAAAAATGATACCCAGCTGTTCACTTTCCTCCATAGCAGCTGTAAGACCAATATGATCAGCTCCCATTACTGCAACTCGGTTCTGGAGGTGATGAACTTTGCGAGTATGTGGCGCCACGGCGTCTCCGTGGCCGTCTCGATAGGTCATATTTACGTCAAATCCTTCTGCCATTATCCTCTTACTGGCATCACCTTTAGTAGCCACGTGGACAATACCGTACGTGTAGTAACACGTGAAAGACACAGTCGAATAGCGAGTTTCCGTTCGTGTATTTCCCTCCGAATCGGTCTTGGTAACAGTACCGTCTTCCACTGTCGCTTGTTCTTGTCTTGAAAATGGAAAGTCAATACTTGTGGCTTGCGTGCTGAGTACACGAAGTTTCTGTCTCAAATCACGTTTACCTATAATTTTTGGAGAGAAGTTGAGGAATAGAAGCTTGGCTAACTTCGACTGTTCTGAAGTCTCAGCGTCATCGCGAATTATGGCTTCATCCTTGGAGTCATCGTACACCATAACACAGTAGAATGGGTACGGAATTACGTACATTTTCCCGAAAAATGACTTGGAATCAAGGTGACCATCGCGAGCTCCACTAGCCTCATCCCAGTAGACGTCGATGCCCTCCAAGGCTGTCTGTGTTGCCTGTCGAAGCTTAGAAGTATACGGGCGTTCCTCTCCACGCCAGTGTGATCGCACTCGATGTACTCCTGACGCGACAACTGCTTGTTCCAGTTCCTCCAATCTATGAGCCACAGTCAGTTCACTGCCATTTCCCGTATGCTTACTGATATTTTGAGTCAATTCCAGTAGGATGGACCGCCAGAATGCCTGCCATACGCGATGTTTAACCTCTTTATCAACGTCCCAACGGGGTAATACGTTCTTCGCTGGAGCGTCTTCAAGACCACGAGAAGTATCACTGAACGTTATCCATCCAAGAAGATTCTTCAAGAAAAGGCGAGCCCCTTTCATTCCTAGTAAAAGCACTGCCAACATGACGAAAAGGTTCACAATATGGACGATACTGACGATCACAGCAACGAGTTCAAGAGGTTTCGACTTTGCTTGCTTCATGTCGATAAACGCAGCGAGAGCTCCACCCACGCATGTAATCAGAGCGGTGACCTTGCCACTAATCTCCATAATGTTGTTGAGGGGGTCGCTAAACGGTGTACCGTAACTCGAAATGGCGACGACGGTAGCGTAAATTACACATGGTAAAATACCGCGTATTTTACCATTCGCGGTAGCTGCCAATACAATTACCAGCACAAGAGCGAGTTTTACTAAAAGTTGCAACACTTTATAGTACCGCCATTTCTGCTCGAACCCGGCGTACAGCGACCGATACGGACATCGCAGTTGGCTCGGATCTCGAGCCACTAGCCGTGCGTACACTTCGTCGTCAAAAGGGACGATTTCCCCGTCCAAATCGTGCGTCACCAGTGGGTTTTCCAAAGATCCAGTTGGTCGATTCTCTTCGATCGCACGGACAAGAAGCCAAGGCAGTGGAATGGTGAACGTCAAGAGGAGAACAATAGCTGCCACGACGATCACTGGCCACGCTTTATCGTCTTTAAACCGCGAGAGAATTAAATCTGAAGCACTTGTAGTTTCGCTGTCGGTAGCAGTCAAGCTACTGATAGCTGCAGCTATCACGTCAAGACAGAGTCGCGTTAATGGCAAGTAGACCGTGAGACAAGCGGTGATCACGTAAGTGAATAGTTTGACGCGCATCTTCTGCTTTTTAGCTAACGCAGCCCACGTTATAGCTTCGTGGCCTTGACGCACTTCATCTGCTCGGCGATGCAAATGTCTTCCAGAGAATACGAACCATAGAAAACTCACGTACACAACACCAATAGCTGCAAGTAAAGCGCCGACTGCGAAGTCAGCCATCAATGCTCGATTTTGTGACGTTTTCTCAATGAGCGCGAGGACATTCACGGCCATCACATCGTACGCGCCGCGTAAAACCTTGAGGAAATTGTTCAATCCGCTCGCGATTTTGTGCTCTTCAAAAAATTCGAGTACCGACTTGTACAATGCATTGAAAAAAAGCCCCACTGTTTGAAAGAAATCTCGTGCTATCTCAACGCGAAGCAACGGAGGAAGTCCCGAACGTGCTAGACATGCTGCGAAGGCACTAAGCGCAGCTGTCCCACCTTCTCGAACCGCATCCAACGCTGCATCGACAGCATCGCGACTTTGACTTAGAGCTCCATCCATCCCCGCAAATCCGTGGGCTGCAATCATCTTCGCATACGGCGAATCAAATACCTCACCTGCGGTCAGTTTGACAAAGTCTGTCGCTTCTTTTGCTTGGTCTACTAAGCTGTCTACACCATCGCGTATAGCTTTCCATTCCGAAGAAATTGACTGTGAAGAGCGAGATTGAAGTTCCACCCAGTCTTGTTCAGACAAGACAGCACGAAAGTCCACCATGTGTTGGCGAAGTGTTCCCACGAGATGCTCTGCAATTGGGGTCCCTGTCTCAGAGAGGTGTTGCAGTGCTTCGTGCAGTTCTTCACTTACAGACGAAGCCAGAACACTCGACGAAGCAAGTGCTCCGGTCAACATCTTCCCAATCGCTTGGGCGTTAGCGCCGTCACTTGCCAAAGCTTCCGAGGCGTTTGTCGACACTTGAGCTGCTACCGCTCCAGCTTCAGAGATCACATCGCTGATGGAGCTGTGAATAACCGACCAAAGAGAGAGCAGCTCAACTTCAGGCACAGGAGCCTTTGTGGCACAGTCAGCAATTGCTTCACATAGTTCCGTCAAGTACTTCGACGAGGGTTCTTGGAATGGACTAGAGAGTACTCCAGCGTTGTTGATTTCGTCAACGAAGCGCAACTCCAGAGCTTGGCCTGACGCTGCCATGGCAGCTAATGCACTCTGGCATTCGGATGAGAGGCTTGTTGAGTCGATAACTTTTGTTAGTGCACGGCCAGCGCGTATGATGGCATTCTGCAGCTCCTGAGGATCGACGAATGTGGTTGGGACACTGGATCCGATCGCTAAAACTTCGGAAGACACCTCGTCGGCATTATGAGGCAATGGAACCACGGTTGCCATCGTAGTACACCCGTTCGGAGAGGCAAGAAGTGAGCTATCAACGGTGACTATAATGCAATCATGCGACAATACGGAGCAGAATTTATAGCTTTCAGTTTTTCAGTAGTTGATGGATTAAACCCGTTCTCTCGGTATTAATTTAGAATTTGGTCACCTGCAGTACCTTCTCCACCAGAACGCGAGCTTCGTTATCACTAGACCCCAGACCAGTCTTCTCTTTCTTGGACAATCGACACTCTAGACGAAACTCGTTCTTAATCGGGTCCAAGTACGATACAGCGAAGTGAAGACCATTGGTCTCCACGTGCACCTTGGATTTTGCCTTGAAATTCACGGTTACTCCAGGTGGCGTAGGTCTGCTCAAAGTCACCTTCGTATCAAAGAAATTACCGCTCTCTGGTATCGAGATGATCAGGAGGCGCTGAATATTTTCCAAAATGTTGTCAGAAATACCCTCCCGTTTAGCGGCACGTACACGGAAGGAGAGATCGTCATCCAAAAGTACGTCGTATGTGCCACCCACGCATCGTTGGCCACGTACATTGTGCAACATCCACTGTCCGCCAACAAGATGGTACTTGAGGTCGTAGTTTTGCGCTAAGCAGCCAGTAAGCTGCACGGATAGTGAAGCTATCGGGGGCATCTCCTTTTCCACCTTGTCTTCAAGTTTGCCCAGAAGAGCTACCATCGATGGCGACCTGGATCCACAGAAATTGGTCCAGCGTGTTCGAAAGTCCCTATACTTGCAGAGTTTCTGTAATACGGACCAAGACATGGATGGCTTCGAACAACGAAGAGCCTTCAGCTTAAAGCATAGCTCGCCAAACGAGACCTCGATCTTATACGGACTTTCCGACTGCTCCTTGTCCAAATAACTCATGAGATTGTGCATATCCTCTTCGCGAAACTCCTTGATCCAAGATCCCTCGATATTTGCCGTCGCATCTGCTGCTCCAGACTGCCGAAGACGATAGCGATACGTTTCAATTTGCGTATTACTTGAAATCGTGTCATCTTTCTGAAATGACCACAGTCGTTGCGGTCCATCACGCACAGCCACTTCGAACACACGCTTGTTTTCGAGCTTAGAGACGCCATAGCTGGAGAACAGTGCGATTAGCTGGCTTTCCGCACTGTCGACGCCAATCGTTGGACCACTCAACGTCACCTTCTGGTCCGTTTTGTCCACAAAGCACTGAACGCCGTGTCTTTTCTCGAGCGTCTTGCAATTGCGACCACCTCTGCCGATTACAATTCCAATCGGCACGTGGTCTGGGATCGACAAGCTCGTCCTGCGGCTAGCAACCGATTCGTGCGTGTTGGAGAAGCTCATGTTTCTTCGAAAAACGGATAATGGACTGCAGATCTGGTGAGGATATCAAACGACGGGTTCAGAACCCATCCATCGCCGTTAAATACGAAAAAGATTGCTCGATAAAACTAAAGAACTCGATAACCGAGTACTTTTGTTGCGGTGTCTTTCGGATGTTGTATGATTATCGCTTCAAACTGTAAATTAAACCTTTTAGTATATACGAAAAAGATTGCTCGATAAACTAAAGAACTCGATAATACCGAGTACTTTTGTTGCGGTGCCTTTCGGATGTTGTATGATTATCGCTTCAAATTGTAAATTAAACGTTGAAAATTTACAAACAGATCACCATGCTTGAGCAAAACAATGGCATGGTGTGCGTAGCTTAGAATCGGCAATGATTAAGAGAAAAAGGTAGAATAAGACCATATGAGCTCTACTGGAGCACCTGGGGTACCAGTACCGCGCTTCGTTGTCGCGAGCAGCCGGGTTTGGTATCTCTTCGTGGACAAGCGACACTCAAGACGGAACTTATTCCTATATCAGAATAACGACCGAGATGAATTCTGAGATAATCTCTCGCTTAGCGGTACACACACGAAATGAGATCGCGTTATCTTCAATAACGCCGCAAGTGCCACACGTTGTGCAGCCTCCATTCTCCGTCAATTAAATTATACTTCAGCGCGTAGATGTTTTTTTTCTCGCATATCGGAGAAGATATAAGCTTGTTGGGGTTTACTTACTTCTCCACATTCCTTACACGCCTGTCCGTCAGAAGCTCCATGGTTTCTGACAGGTCTTATTTAAGAGGCGGTCGAAAGTATTTCGCAGAACTTCCTCAATTTTGTTTGGATTCTTTTCTACGTGGGGGTCTTTGTAAAAGAAAAACTACTGCCCACCGCTATGATCTATTTATAATGTCAATATCGGAGACGTTCTCCAGACCTGAAACGGAACATTTTGGACTATCCGCGTCGAGCTTGGTCAGCCACACAGGTGAGCCACCGTGGGAAGTACTCGATCGAGCGTCTACTCGCACTTCGTGAGTATACCCGCTCCACGTCAAGGGCTCGAGCTGTTCTCGTATGTGTGGGGACACCACCCCCGACTATAATTCTCGTACTTGTCCAAGAATCTGTGCCGCTACAGGAACCAGCGGACGGTTGGCGTGCAAACTACGGGATTTGGGGCGATTGTGAGTGGGGTAGTAGCACACACGATTCTCTTTCAATTGAAGCACCTAATGGAGGGGGTCACGATATCAACCAATCAACTTGGACTCATCGTGACATTCGTGATGAGCGATTGGCGCATTTCACACTCTACCTTGCAGCGCAGACGCTGATGTCAGTCACGTATCCAGCGTATCAAGTTCTTTTTAAAGCTGCAGCCGACGCCGGATACGATTTATTCGTCGTCGCTCAGCTTCCCATCGTAAAACTTGTGATTAGGAATATCGTAGCACTGTCTTTGTCCCGCATGGACGATATGATGCCCGAAGCTGTCGTCTTCTCGGTCGATTTTTTCAACGCCTTCTACATCGCAACTAGCATGCAGAACGCTTCATCTACGGCAACCGTCGTCATTATCATGGTCGTTGATCTTTTCCACACGTTCTACGCTCTGAAAAATCTCCAACGACGAGCGTCCAGTATTATGAAGAAGCTCCACGAGGACGACCAAAAGCTGCTTGACGTTGCTTACTTGCTCCTTCGCACTCAAAAACTAGAGAGTATCAACATTGCTCACATTCAGATTCACTCATGTATGACTCACCGGCTGTCTCTCGAAAGTCGAACTCTTCTTGAAGATCTCGACAAGGCAACAGATCGCCATCAGATCCCGACTAGCAGATTGTTCGAGGATCTGAGACGTGGCTCAAATATACCACAGTGGCCTTGTGTGTGGAGACGGAAGAATACCGTACAAGTACGGCCCATTAATGTGAAGAAACGCGAACAGCTTCAGGCAGAAGCCAAACAACGCCTCGATGGGGCCTTAAAAGTACTTTTTACAGCGGAATGTCTAGTTCTTTCGGAGTATCTGGAGACTTTTGTCCCGATCTTGTACGCGATCTATATTATGGCCATGGTTCACCTTCCGAGCGCCAAATATCACACTGAGCTTTTTGGAGTCACTGTTGACACGATTGGCAGCGAAATCCAAACAATTCTAGCCTATGCGTTTCTGGAGTTGCTCTCAATAGCAGCTCTAGTTACACTGATGCGACGTGGGTGTGGCTACGGAGTGTCCATCACCTCGCCTTCGTGTTAGAGACGCACATGCCGCACGTACAAGATAAATGACTGGCTTGGGCTTTGCTCACGCTTGGATCGCGCGTGAGTGCACTTTGGTACGTAAAATGATATTAACCCTGGTTTTTTCCTGGCTTTTAAACTATACTATGTGGCAGGGGTCGACTTTACCTTCGAGTTTGACTGGGTATAATATGATTTCGACGATAAATCAAATGTGTTTTGGTGAATATACTAGCTGTAAGATTTATTCTCTGAAATTTATTTCAGAGGTGGGGAGTCGAGGTTTTATTGTGTGGATTTTTAGATTCCTGTCTAAAACGAGGTTGATGTACCGACAGGAAAGATATATCGTCTGTAAATTCAATAGAGCCCAATTCTCTAGTAAACTTTTAAAGTATACCGTGTTTCACACTCTGAATTTCCAAAAAAAGCAAAAAAAACTCGAATGAAAGTAAATTGACTCTTGTGAAATAAACAAAAGATTACGAATGTATTATCGAGCAAAGTCTGAAATTTAAAAAGAAGGTTTGAAGCTCATATTGGTACATCATTAATGTGGCACAAATCATACCAGTCGTTTTTAAAGGAAACAATTGGGAAAAACGTGTACCAAGGTTGATCACTCCCAACACAACAATAACGTACTTCGTGAGGTGCTTTTATAAATTTGCATTTTCTTAAATGCAAAGTGCTGCTGGTGGTTTTTATCTGCATCGCATACATCTTATTCAAGATAGAATACAAGTTTCAATACGAGTTTTATGCGGGCAAAACTCATGCATCTCAGCACCATTATTTTCAGCGGGGCTGTTTCAACTCTTGCAAACGATAAATATGAGAAAATGACATCTATGCGCTGAAAAGCTGCTTTGATATACAGCGCATATTTGAAGTACTTTCTTAATTAATACGTAAAACTTGAGCTGAGATACGCAAGAGGTGCTCGTGATACTTGAAGCTCGTAAATATAAAATGCTTTTCTACAGCTCGCTATGACGTTGTACGGCGCACATTCCTAGCAACAATCCCCACCATGTTATAAGATATAGAAAAATCACGAATGCGTCGTTGCTACCGAACCTACTCTAATTGGAGCTTAAGGAGAGCCGAATAAGCCGTCGTGGACGCAAGCACCAGTTGCTGTTGGGAAGGGAAGTTCACTGCTGGATCAGTACGACACTATCTGAGCGACCAAGAACGCTTCCAGTGATGTTTCAACGAATATACTGCGTCGATTGTCGCCTCCTTGAAGAGAACATGTGATCCTCGAAGGGTCGGGTGAGGCGCCGGTACGGGATGATTGCCGTGTCATCAAGGTCCGAGGCTGTCCCTCAGCGTGCATGTGAAGCCTCGTACTCCCGACCATGATAGATGAGTTTGCACAGCCGGCCTGGGTGCTAGCTGCTGTCATCAGCGCCAAATGGGGTGAAGAATCCTGGGCGCAAACGCTGGGCCTCCATCAACTGCGCGTAAATCGATCCATCTCAGTCCTTGTCATCAAGCTCCCTTGGGCACTTGAGGAGTACGAAGTTGCCACGCAAGGCATCTGAGCGTGTTTCCGCTTCAGGGGGGCTCTGTTGGCGAGGCATGAGAAGCAAAAAAAAATGAGTTTGGCTCCATGTGCAAGTGAAGTCATCAGGAGACGCGCCTCATTATCAACTAGGTAAAAAAAGACCAAAGACAAGCCGTGGATGTGTTTCAGTCCCAATGGATCTCAGCCGAAGCAGTACAAGAAGACGCTGCTTTGGAGCAAGAATATGGACCAACTGCAACAGTACAAGGTGGGGCCGCTTCACAACGAGAACATAGGCTAGCTATCCAAGGTAAGCATGCCTCACGGCAATGACTTGGATTAGCATCAGCAATAGTAGAAGACTGGGTGTCTCCACAGTAAGTACGTGAGCTAGCAGCAACAGCAGTTCCAATGCGCAGCGAGTATTCGGACTAGCAGCAACCGTCGTACAGCGTGGATCTGTCCACAACAAGAACGTGAGCTTGCTGCACCACCAGCAGCAAAAGAAGTGCATGGCGCAGATACCTTGCAACAGAGACGTGGACCAGTATCAGCAGAGCGATTTGAAAATATGCCGCATCATTAGCGCGGCGAAGTAGAAGACGGGCAAACAGTTGATGTTCTTCGCTATCGAATGGTCGCTGGAGAAGAAGCACAAGGTGGGGTCCCTCTTTCTCTCCGCGTATGAGAGAGCTTCAAGCTATGTTCAGTGACGAAGAGCAGCTAAACAACACCTCAAACAGTTTTGGAAACATCGAGAGCATCGCCAACAACACATGTACAAGCGACGCAGACGTTGTTACCCATAATAATTAAAACAGCTGGTAAACAGCCAGTAGACACTCAAAGTCTATCATCTTCAGATGTGTGCCGATGGAAGGATATTGCAAGAAGGTTTCCAAAGTGAACGCAGGTAGCAAATTGCGTTTGTGCAGCCAACGAAGCTGCAAGCACGAAGCCCACGCAGCCTGTGGCGCAGCAATGTTAGCTCAACTAGCAGCAACCAGACATCCAAGCTGCATATTTGGACATTCGCAAGTAAGAACTGGGGTTGCAGTATAAATCATTCGTTTGCCAGGAACAGCTGCTAGATATTGAGAGCCGTCTTACTAGTGCACGTATCGGGGAGGCCTACGCATAAGCGACGAAATTCAACGAAGAAGCTGAACAATGGCCACAGCAGATCCAAGTGGTGCTTTTTCGTGAGAGAAAGAAGCTGCTATACGAAGGCATCTCTATAACTAAGATCGGTCTGATGGTATTACTGCGACTACATCTCGAGGAAGTATGCAAGTAATTGGTCTTGTCGTTCGTCCCCTTTTGCGTCTCCAGGAAGTGGCGAATTGAGCTCCTCGCCGTCGTCAAGCTCACCCGTTATCTGTCGAGTACATCTTGGCACGGTTTTGGAATCTGTCCTGCAATCCGTAAGCTGTGCATGATGCACGCACACGTGACGTATCTAATTAACCGCCTCATGTGCTTTGTTCAACTTGAATCGAGTTTTGCGCAGATAATGAAATCGCATTTTAAGCAGCCTAATGCAGTGCTCGTTTTTTATTCTTGCCTTGGCAAGCTTCGTTGTGATGAGAGTTCATCTGCGCCTTAGACGGGGTCTCAAGAGGATACCTGAAAGGCTAAGCCACCCAAGTCATACTTGAAATACTGCCCGAGCTGAAGAACCATGGGACTGTTCATCCACACGCGGTTGTCATGGATGGATCCTGGCCACCCCACCACAATACTTCGTACTAACATCGTCGCATGTCACTAGAGCATTAACAGAAAATGATGGCTTCCTACTGTAGTAATCTTCTACGTAGTGGCGCGGTTTAGATGATAGTGAGAACAATGTACCATCGGTAAGCCTAACGCAATTGAGAAAACCGTAATTGGCTTGCACCCGCTGCGCTATCATGCATCGCTCAATTTCATCCGACCACGCAGTGGTTGAATTTTCCAGTTTCAACAGCAGTTGAAGCTCGGAAGAGATAATGATGAATGAACCCACTTCCAATCCCGAAGATCTGAACGAACCCTGAGTTAAAGACGTTGCTATCGAGTAAAAACGATTCTACTCATACATCAGTCGATCGCAAGGATAAGATCTCGACATGAATCCTGTACGATAGGGCTATAACGCTCGTATCACGGAAGGTGTGGGCCGGTCAGGCAGGGCTTTTTGAGTCCCAAGCTTAGTTAACATTTTGCCATAGCACGAGATTAAGTAAGACTAGCGTCCTGCAACATGATCTTCCACGTGTCGTTCAAGCGCCAGGTCTCGCTTATAACACACGAGCTCGTCCTTCGGCTTCCTGGCGGCCTTTTTAAACTCTTTCACTACCAAGGGATAATAGCGGGTCCACCTTGGACCCATTATACAGCCAATCAATGAAAGAAGCTGAGCCAATAAGATAGCGGGGAAGGTACACATGTTCGTCCATCGTGCAGCTCACGGTACTTCTCGACAGTTTAAAGTTGCTTCAGGACGCCAACGACGATGGAGCACAGCGCTGACGAGGAAGGCGGAGCTTGCAACTGCTGCGAGTGCTCTCCCTGCGAGTAGGAACAGTACGGCGCCTAGATACTCGCTAGCAGAGTCAGGATGATGACGTGCAAGCGAAGGAGACGAGCTCCTCGCAACGTGGTAGCGGCATTATATCAGCTACATCATTACAAGAAGCACGCCTGCTTGTCGAAAGGGGGTGTTCCCCTCTTCCAGACGTGTATCGAACGGCGTTTGACTGTTGTAACAGGGATAAACAGATATGTACATGGCTTTATAAGCAACTTATCTAGTCTCCTATCAACTCGAGCTGATCTAGAGTCGTTGTCGTCTTGTTTTTCTTCAGACGTGGCTCTACCACGGCATCGCCGGTAGCAGCGGTGCAGACAGCGTCCAGCGCTTCGGGTACGCTGAGAAATGTCGAAGTAAGCGCATGCTGAAAACGAAAGCAGTCCAGCAAGTGACGTGAAAGTCTCTATCGCAACCCGTGTAGCCATATCTTGCCTTCTTGCTAAGACCTCGTAATGTGAATAGATAGCAAACAAGTTTACCTTCGGAGAACTTAGTCGAGTTTGGAGTAATCGTATGCACGCTTGCATCCATGCCAACAATCTCTTGTGGTGTTCCGGTGCGTGGTGTCGGGCGCCGCTTTCGCTACATGCAAGCTCGCTGTGGCGATGTTAGCTGCTCTACTACACGGTGCTTAAACTTTTGAAGAGTGACCAGATACCTTGTTGAACAGAAAAAAAAGTATTGATGAGTGCCATGCCCGTCGCCCAGGTAAGAAGGCTCATCGACAGTCGGGTCTCTTTTCGTCTGATGCGATTCGTGCTGCGAAGCTGATCGACTCTGTCCACGCCGTTCATGAACGAGTTGTAGGTAACGATGAAGACTGGCACTTGAAACGTTGCTCTATACAGGTTCTACTCGCCAGTCCCCCACCTAATTGGGGCTAGCCCGCGACACAAACGAACAGCCTCCTCGGAAGCTTGGGTAAGCACGCGCTGCGACGAGATTTTGGAGAGGTTGTTTGGGTAAAACACTACTGTCTTTTTTGTCCTTATGACGATGTATCCAGCATTGGCAGCAAAACGCATCAGGGGAACGTAGTTGTTTTCTGTGAGCTGGCAGTCGCTTCTGTTTGTTCCGATGTGCTTTTTGCAGCTAGCCGGAACGTCAACAGCGACGATAAGCTCCCACGTCCCGCGCTCTGCTTCCTTGAGCCGCTCCTTTGCTTCTTCTAGTACTGTGGAGCTCCACTTTCTCTGAAATACAGTCCTCATTGTGCCCATCATGTACATTTTACCGTCGGTAAACGCTAGTAACGCCTTCGCCAAAGTATGCCTCGAGTACAAATTATCACAAATCAGCAGGCGGCGGCTGGTGGGATTTCGTGATGTGGCCGCACATACACTGTAGCTACCCATAGCGCGCTAGCAGAATCTTTCTTCACGTGAATGTCATTGCCACTAAGACTCTTAAATAGCGGTGTCCGGAGATCAGGAAATACACCAATGTAGCGCTCGACTGGAGGAGTAGTAAGCCTGTTCCGCGAACCATTGTCCCAAATTGAGTATATGTAGAGACTCCCCCAACCAACTACGCGCCATATTTGTCCGGCTTCGATTGCAAGTACGATTTGGCTGCTGTTCTTGCTTTCGTCCTAGCAGTGTTTTCATCGGGGCTGATAGTATCAACAGGTACAGCAGTGGCGGCAAACTTCTTCTGCATCTCGGCTATGGGCAGCCAGGCGTGCCATAAAAGGATCTACAGTCCTTCTAACAACAGACACACTATCAGGGGGTGAGTTTGAAGTCTTCCACGGATGCTTTGATAGCGATTCCTAGATATCACTGACACGAAATCGTTCTGTCCGAGAAAAAGCTTTGTCGACCAAAATTCAACTAGCTCTGTGAATGTAAAGATACTGGTGGCAATTTCCAGGCCAAAAGACATCCATTTCGACGGAAGACATAAGCTCTTTCCCTTTTCACATAGTTTTTTGTTAGTCCAGTTTCGCAAAGAGTTCGTGTAAAAAAAGAGAAAAGAGGCCAAGATCTTAACGCTCTTTATAAGCTAGCATGGCCTCTCTCTCACGGATAATGTGAAGGCCACTGTTTCGAATCGGATTATCTACATACGCATTGCCAGTGCGACGCGCCAGGACTTGTACAGGCTGGGACTCCTCTCCACACGCTACCTCCTCCTCCACTGCAAGGTCGGCAGACTCGTCGCCAGACTCTATCTCCTTCTCCTCCACTGCAAGGTCAGCTTCATCGTCGTTAAATTCCCAGTCACTAGTAGCGTTGTCCACGGCGTTTTGAAGCCCCGTGATGTCCATGTCAGACTTGGCGCGATGTTTGTAGAATGGCGGTTGGCATCAAATTTGTGCTTGGATATGCAGAGGATGTAGTCGGTTGCAAAGTGTACTTTCCTGAAGATCGTACAGCAAAGTTTATCGCCGACTTACGCGTCCCAGAAGACGTAGTATACCGAGATCGACATGAAGCATCAGTCGATGATGGTGAAAATGCTCGTATAATTAATAAACAGTTATGAAACCAGAGCATCCGAGATAAATTCTCTTATTGTACTGTGCTGCTGAAAGTTTTGCTGGATAATAAAGATTATAATATCCATTTCAAAAAAAATACAGGTATTATTGCAATTAATTTATTTTTACCTTGTTATTCGGAAGTCACGTAAATCTCATTTTAATGGTCTTTTTTTAATTTTTTCTAATGCGCTGTTGTTAACCTTAAGTCAATAGTTTAGCTTGATTCTTGATAATAGTAATACCGGTATGGTACTGGCCGACTAATTGTTTAAAATGCTCCTAATGATACTTCCTTAAATCTTTCGATCCGGGACAGCATTAGCAGGAGGTTGGAGTTCAGGCGAGCTGACGGAGACGATGCTAAGGCGTATCCTGTAGTAGCGAAAGCTCCTCTGTCCACAATTGGACGCCCAGTCTGGGCCCATCGGCGACATATCCAGAACTAGGTTGTGTTGGCGAATGCAGCAGGTTGCGGTCGAGATGATCATTGGCGTACAAACTGCACTTGCGGCTGGTTCTAACTCTGTAAAGCCTCCAGGTGACGCGTCAGTTTGCGGCGCTTCCACCAGTAATATCCGTATGCAAGCAGCCTAAGGACGATAACGACGAGAGCCACAATAACCACATACATCCACCATTGCCAGAAGAAACAATGTTTACCCGAGACTGCTTTTCCTGTCCGCAGAGCCGACACAGTCGCAGAAACAAACGAATCCTCAGCAGTCATCGTCTCAATTGTGATATTCTGACTGGACGTGACATCAGAGGTTCCGAAAATGTTATTTTTATTGAGACTGGCAAAACAGCAATAAAAATAATTTTAAGTGCTTGGAGCACCACGGGTGCAAAAATTATTGGTGTTATTGCATGCAATATACAGTGGGCTGATACTCGTCTAGTTGGTGGGAGCCTCACCACGCACAACCTTCCGGACTGTGGCAGCGTTCCAGTAGGCTCAGTTCAGCGACCAACCATCAAAATGAGAGGACAAGAGCGTGGCAGATCGATCGTAGATTGCGGATTAGCTGGACCGCTGGTCCATCAGCCCGGTTAAAGGTTATTGCCTGGAGAGACCGCAGAATAAATTATATGATTTTGAAATGGGAGCTCGAAAATAAATTATTTTACTGCAAAATAAAAAATATATCTAATAAAAATAACATTTTCGGAACCCCTGCGTGACATCATTCGGACAGTTGTCTGCTATTGCAAGACACACACGTTCATTAGCACGATTGTACACTGTGAATAAGCCATCCATGAACACGTCGCCTAGCAATGTAAAATCGCTCTCCGAGATGCCAAACCTTCGACACGCTGCTTCTCCTCGACCCGTGGAGACCACAACAGGGCGCCAAATGTACTTAGCTGGGATGGTTAAAGTCATCTGATGCGAGTTATCGCCATCGACTGCAAGGGAGATCGTAGTTGGTAGATAATTGAGTCAGCATTATTAGAAGTTTCTATCTTAAAAACGTTTGGTAAAGGTGTTAGCAGTAAGTTGTTGAAAAGCAGTAGGGTCACCTACAGTACTTCGTAAAAGCTGTGTACTGCGACCAGCTAGTGCCTGCAGAGCGCGTTGCTCATGTTGATGCCGCGTTGTCACTGGAGCCCCTTTGCTTAATCTTGGAAACGCCAAAGACGCCGGCAACTAGCATCCAGTACACCACTAAAAACTTGACTAGGGCCTTGTATTTACCCGGTGTCTGTGATGAATGAGAGACATTCGATATCCCAACGTCCCTCTCTTCTTCATGTTGATTTTGCGCTCCCCTGAGACGGCGATTCTTGTTTACGATAAGTTTAACGTTTGACGCCGGCGCGCTGTTGACGAGAAGAGAATTCTCGGCGTCTGTGAAATATATACAGCTCCAGAGGAAACCCCCCATGAACAGTACCAGAGTGGGCTTGAATCGCATTATTGATGCTATTACTGGACGCGATTAATAGCGAGGAAGTTTCTTGTTGAATGCTCATTCGGAACGAGTCGTTCCATACGGTATTTCGCACTACGATTTCCTATTAGGTAATCGACTGCATGTTCTTTTTGATTACGACACGACAGCACGAAACCCACAATTTACAACAGCACAGCATGTCGCAGCTCCGGATATTTTTGATAAAGGCGGCGCGCAGAGGGACGGGGTGAAATCGAGAACAAATCAAAACGGAAAAAAACAAGCTAGCCTGACCAAGTGATGCGAGCAGATGCGTCTCGCAGTCGGACAGAACATGCCAAACACATGTATTTACTGTTTCAGCACACAGCAAATCATTTGACTTGACTTATGTATACTTTTGACCTTCTGAGTGTCGCAATAAGACATAATCGACGATTAGAGGTCACAGCAGAAAAAGGACCAGCCGCGCTGGGCGCCCCTTCGGCGCCCCCGCGGTTCGCTGCGCTCGCAATATGGAGATAGAATGTTCTGGAAAGTGTAGTGCTCGGCTCGCTGGTGAGCTCAGCGCTGGGCCCGCCTCCGCAAATACCGCGCGGCCCTGCTTCGCGGGCTCTCCGCGCGGGTTTGCTGCGGCTACGCGCCTCGCACCCGTTGGCGCCGCGGCTATGGCACCCACGTCGCCCAGCCCCGTGTGTATTATCCCAGCGATGGACGTGTGTTTCTCCTATTTTCTCTCGCAGTCGCAGCAAGCCCGCGCGGTACTTGCGAAGGCTGGCCCGACGCCGAGCTTTCCCAGCGAGCCAAGCATTGCACTCTCCAGGACGGGAAATCTTTTTAATGTGACTGTCTTTACGACGGCAAGCGGAGCAAATCCAAAAAAGTTGAAATGACATCCGTCCTCCGTGTCTTTACATTGTGATGGTGATGAGCAATACCGGTAATCTTGGATTAACTGAAAATATAATATAATCGTTTATTCTCATTTTGGGCGCAGCAGCAGCACGTGCCGGTACATGTATTTAAACCCCTACAATAGATCAGAGAACACACAAAAACGTCGCAAGAGCGAAATACATGCAATGTAAGCTTAGTCCGTGTGACTACAGTCTTTAATACTAACCTTAATTGGACCTTAAAGTGACGATTTTTACCTATTTTACAGATTGCATGTACCATGCATGGTATTACGACCGCATTCTTACCTTTTTCCGGTAGTTCGACTACAGTGGTCACGGTAATGAATCTCATTGAAATTATTTTGTGTGGAGTAATTTTTTTATTTCACACAGCAATTGATCTGTGTGAGAGTATTAAAGAACTCCCATTAAATAGTGTTTGGTAAGATAAATCTCATTGCTATTATTTTATGTAGCCCTATAATTAATCTCACATCTACATGTCGGCACAAACTATACCAGAAGGTAGAGTTACAGCTAGAACAGAGGGTTGGAATGTCACTGGACTGTACAGTGGCAGAGAGAATCATTAAAAAAAACATCATGAAATGAAATGCAATCATATAATTTAGAGCCACAGCCAATTGCTTCTTTTGTTGGTATTATAAAAAGATACAGTGAAACTTTTCTTAAGTACGAACATCAGTGCTTACACTGTAAGTTACTGTACAGCCCGAGCAACCAACGGATGCCTTCCACAGAACATACATCACCACAGACCTAACTCTAAAAGGGACAATTGACACCCGATGCAGGTGCATCTTTAAGTCCCCGCAAAAAAAGTGTATGAAGCATTGTTAGCAGCGGGATTAAACCTACAAAAGAGGCATTGGTCTAATGACAGCTAATGCATATCATGCAAGAACGATCGAGAGAAGTGAGAAAGGAAGAGACACTCCGAAGAGGGTATATAATTGTAGACGAAAAAATATACCACAAGCAGAGATACTACATCACATTATCATGTATGTATGCGATATCCACTTCATGAGAATCATTTAATGGTATGTATCGAGTATTATATCTGTGAAGAATGATATTCTGATGTGATGTTCGATGAAAATAAAAGTTTATACGATTATTACTCTC